ATCATTATCACCACCACCCTCACTACCACCACAATCATCACCATCACCACCACCACCACCATCAATCCTCTCTCTTAGTCCACCTTTTATCATTTATCGTCTGTTATTTTAGTTTTTCTTTATTTCCTCCAGTTAGTCCACCTTTCTCGCCCTCCCCTTCCTCTCATCTCTCTCTTCCTTTCTTCCTCTACCACCAATTATCTTCACTATCATCACTTCTTTGGGAGAAATACCAAAACATCAATTACTAAAACGTAAATTGTTCAACGTGAAATTTGTTGTTGATGTCACGCGAAATAGCAATGGAATTACTGTTGCCTGAGGATATAATGGGTCCTATTCTTATGAGGCACCATTCCCAAATGGCACCATTCCTAAGAAGCACCATTCCTAAGTGGTACCATTCCAAAGAAGCCCCAATTGAACATACTATAACCCACACACTAGCATTGGGGGTCTTTAATGACTTGGAACCATTGGGATTGGGGCCACTTAGGTTCATTTGATGATGACAACAACAACAACAACAACAACAACAACAACAATAATAATAATAATAATAATAATAATAATAATAATAATAATAATAATAATAATAATAACAGTCTCGGGGATAAACTAGATAAGAGTTATATCTATTGGCACTACATAAAAGAGATACTAGGCTGTGTTCTCTAGGCAGCGTCAAAACACTATTCACTCCAGGGGAAAAAAAAAAACCATTCACTATATAGAAAAAAAAGCCTCATGCGCCATTGAATTTGAATATCACTTAATTCTGCATAAAAAATTCATGGAACATTAAATTCAAATATCACTTACTTTGGCATAAAAATTCGCCATGGTACATTGAATGAAAATAGCATTCAATGTTGCGCCACCCCCTACCCCCAAGGTCATGCAATACCGAGTTAAATAATGATTCCTTGGATAAAGCAAAATGATGCAATAGTGAATCAGAAAAAAGCAACCATGAAACATTGAGTTCTTATATTATTCAATGTTGCAAAAGGAAAATTATGTAACACTGAATTAAGTAAATCATTCATTGCCTAAGAAAAATACTGCAACACCGATTCAAAAATAATATTCAACTCTTTTTCCCCCTGCCATCCTCTCCCTTTCTCCCAACCCTTCCTTTCGCATCCTCCTCATCCAATTCCTTTCTCTCCCTACCTTCCCCCTCCTCCCGATCCTTCCCATTTCTCCCCTTACCATTCCTCCCCCTCCCCCTTTCCCCCCAACATTCACCCTCCATTCCCCTCCTCCTCACCCTCTCCTTTCCCCCCACCCTCTCCCTTACTTGTGTATTGATTGTAAATAATGATCACCTCTCCCCTTTGGCGGCGGAAATAATGACAACTTTTGACAAATGCTAAGGTCGAGAATTATGACTGGAAGCCCTAGTAGTTGGCTATTAATATCTGTTGCGTGATGAATAACACTCTCTTGCCCAGCCTTCCTCATTATACAGCTGAGAGAGAGAGAGAGAGAGAGAGAGAGAGAGAGAGAGAGAGAGAGAGAGAGAGAGAGAGAGAGAGAGAGAGAGAGAGAGAGAGAGAGAGAGAGAGAGAGAGAGAGAGAGAGACGTATAAACTTTCACATTAACTCTCATCCACACACATTCTTTCTCTTTCCTGAACACACACACACACACACACACACACACACACACACACACACCCCAGTAATAACTCACACTTGACTATTTACCCTTATACACTCAACATAATAAGCCGCAATAATATTTACATCAATATATTTGTTATCAGTATAGAGGAAAGTACTTAACACACACTACAGATTCTGGCAACATCGTATTAAAAGTTAAAGTATGATATTATTTTTTTTCCTAAACTATAGTTGAGGTGGAGTAAAAGTACTTCAAAATAAATGCACTCGACAAAGCTACTTAAGTACAGGTACCTCACTACACCACATATCAGCCTATACCTCTAATTATAATAAGCACCTGTACTTGTCTGATGCTTACGTGTGTGTGTGTGTGTGTGTGTGTGTGTGTGTGTGTGTGTGTGTGTGTGTGTGTGTGTGTGTGTGTGTGTGTGTGTGTGTGTGTTTACAATTTATGCATGAGATATGCTAATTGGGGCGAGGGACGCGGTCTGTGCTGAATGAAGACACATGACCGTATTGCAACTGGCAACTGAAGTAATTTCTTGAGAAAGATAAAAATAAAACGGTGAGAAAGAGAGAGAGAGAGAGAGAGCTTTTGTCTTTGTGTGTATGTGTGTGTAAGAAAGACAGAGACGCAGAAGAAGCATTCTGTGAGTGTGTGGGTGCATGTTTGCGTGCATGTGTGTGCGTGAGCTATACATTAACATAACAATAAAAACTTCTCTCTATCAACCTAACGACAAAAAAAAACCATGAAACAATTCCATATTTACTTCACGACTCTAACAACGACACATGCACCTATATCTTACCTGCAAACGAAGCCAAATATACTGTACTTCATTATTTACATGCATAGTGAAAACAACAAAACTAACTCCACGTATTATTTTTATTTTTATTTATTTTTTATTTTTTTATTTTTTTATTTTTTTTAATGTATCAGTCCTGCTTACGTTTTCAGATGTAATCAGCTTTGGTCTGAGTTCGGAGAGAATTTAATTCGGTTAAACCAACTTCATTAGACAGGATCAGAACGACAGGAAACGAACCGTAAATGTTTTTTGACGGACGGTCGGTGTGTGTGTGTGTGTGTGTGTGTGTGACAAGGTACTGAGGTACATTTTCCTAATTAATCTCCTTTACAACTGCACCAACTACGGAATTTACAGCTGTGATTTATCCAAAGATCCAAATTATTATAATTATTATTATTATTATTATTATTATTATTATTATTATTATTATTAATCTTCCTTCTATTACGTTTATTATTGCTGTTATTTTATCATTATCGTTATTATTATAGTTACAAAATACACACACACACACGGATATAACCAGTGCTGAAAGGGTTAATGCAGTCCTCAGGTGGGCGAAGAGGGAATTAGGAACAGGTGAAAACATCCTCACTAGCGTATTTATAGAACGTAGAGGGAAGGGGAGAGCCTGTGATAAACAGTGTGGGATGTAGAAGGGGAAGAAGTGAGAGAGATAGAGAGAGAGAGAGAGAGAAAAGGAGATGAGGTGAATGGAGAGAAAGGGTGAATATAAAAAAAAGACGTGTAGGGGAGCTAAAATATATAGAGAAATGAAGGAATAGATAGACAAATGAATAACAAAATAATATACAAATAATTAACACATATTTAACGTACAGATATTCATATGACGTCATAGATACATCAACACTTATTCAAAATTAACCAGAAACAAAAAATAACACTGAGCCATTAGATAGATAAATACAGGTCAGGAATCATTAGCATAAACAATAATAATGAAAACAACAACAAAAATAGATAAGTGTACGAGTTAATGAACAGAAAACGGTGGATTGGCAAAATTTATTACAAAGGACAAGGGGTAACTCAGGTCTTTCTACGTCTGTAAGTACTTGGGGAGGAATGAAGGAGGAGGAGGAGGAGGAGGAGGAGGAGGAGGAGGAGGAGGAGGAGGAGGAGGAGGAGGAGGAGGAGGAGGAGGAGGAGGAGGAGGAGGAGGAGGAGGAGGAGGAGGAGGAGGAGGATTAAGATAAACACGGATTAAGAGCAATACAAACTGGTGATAATTGGAAGACAAATAATATTATCGGTGAAGGAGACGGGAAGGAATCGGTGAAGGAGAGAGAGAGAGAGAGAGAGAGAGAGAGAGAGAGAGAGAGAGAGAGAGAGAGAGAGAGAGAGAGTAATATTAAAAGAGAAGAATAGGTGTCCAAAAATAAGAAAAATTTAAAGAATATAGAGAAAGAGAGCAAGAGAGAGTGAGAGGGACAGGGAGGAAATGTTGCCCCCTCTCTCTCTCTCTCTATCTCTCTCTCTTGTCTCATTTACATATCAAGTCTCTCATTATAAGACTCGACGCTTAATTACCGATACACACCCATTATAACCCCCCCAAGAGATCTTTTTATCTAATATAATATACAGCCTAACCTAACCTAACCTAACCTTGGGATTTCATTTATGTACTTTGTATTATATTATTCCTTTCTATGTTTAATAATCGGTTTGTTTTGGACAGTGAAGTGGAAAATGTCTGAGAAAACGTTTGAAGAGGAAACTATCTATATTTTTTTCCCTTACTGCTGTGTTTGAGAGAGAGAGAGAGAGAGAGAGAGAGAGAGAGAGAGAGATGGGCAGGGAAGATGAACGGTAATGCACCAATAAACAACAATGACGGGGATATTCTGGGGACGAAATTTGACACAGTGACAACAATAAGAAGCCAAGTGAAGAATCCCTCTTGTAAATAAAGCAGAAAAGATAGATAGATATGTCTTCAGTAAAACAGTCATAGCTCACAGTTATTCAGCATGTATAGTACGCAGACAATGCAGATACACAATCATACATAGACAGTGCAAGTATACAGGAATAAACTGAGAGTGCGAGGCAGCGACCCAAATTACCCGAACGATCAACTAAAGATCGAAAGAGACCACGTATAGTCAGGGTAGAGGAAGATGGGGGATGTCCAGGTAATGCACCAGCCCTCCCAACTAATAGAGGCAACAGGCGAACCAGTTGTAAATAATGTTAACACAGTGTTATGATGTAGCTTTAAGCAGCACTACTAACCCAGAGAAAACAAGGTCCCAGACGATGCATTAAGATTGATTCTACTAACCCTCAAGACTCACGGTGCTCAGAAGACTTCAACCATGGAGATTACCAGCTCATGAGAAACGCACTATAGGGAGTTAACTGGGAGGAAGTCGTTGAAGAGGAATCAGAAATAGACGAATCAGTGCAAGATGCTTGAGGAAATCCTTGAGTTTACAGAAGCGTAAAACAAGAAAGAGAGGGAATAAGACCAGGTGGATGAATAACAAATCTAGGAAAGCCTGCAATAGAAAATAATACATGTGGAAGACACACCAGAGCACAGGGCCTAGTGCTGATTATGTAGCATACAAAAGAGCCCTAAATGTGGCCAATCAGGAAATTGGATTTGTCAAATGGCACTTCGAGATGAAACTAGCCAAAAATATTAAGAAATATCCCAAGTCCTTTTATGAGTATACCAAGAGTAAGATAAAAACCAGGGGTACTGTTCTATCTCACTGAAACATTCACAATCTTTTTAAAAGGTTCATCGACCCACAGCAGGGCCTGGGGACATACCTACAAGCTCGCCAAGTTATCATACAGAACGAACATAAGGAAATATTTCTTCACACAGAGGGTGAAATACCTATGGAAAGGTCTACCAGCTCAAGCTGTAGAATCAAGTACAGGACTGGGCTTTAAAATAGCCCTTGACACAGTAAAAATGGAGGGATCCTACACTGGCCTCCTTCCCTCGGCTTGGCCACCTCTAGTAGGGGACCATTAGGTAAAGAAAATAAATAATAACACTTTTTCAGAGATAAGTTATCCCTTCAACTTTGGTAGAAAACTACCATTTTCTGTCAAAAACATTTCGGGGTAACTGTTCCAGTCAACACAAGACCTTCTTCCTGGTCGCTAAGATACTGCATGCCAAATATTTTGTTTATCAAATAGGAACAATCCCAGGTATTACTTTATCTACTATTGCAATATTATTGAATAATTAGATAAATACACAAAAAACAACGCTCCTCGACCCAGCAACGAGACATGATTTCCCTTGGTGTTTTATGCTCTATCCACTGGTGACAACTGTTTCTTGCTATGACCCATTGTTCCTCCTTCAAAACTAATACTGTATCAAGTAAAATATGTTTATGGAGCAATTAACAAGATCACAAGATGTTGTAACCGCTCGACTAAGGTTAGGATATAAGTACCTCTGGCAGTATGTCCCTCAAGTAGATGTGAACAAAACCAAATGCAGTGTGTGGCCAGACAAAGGCCACACACTCCACCACTACGTATAGAGACGGGTCCAAGCATACTGTGTGTGTATAATGGTAAGGCTTTTATATCTCTGGTGGTAAGGTAGCTAATGTATTAAAGGTGTATCCACATTTCGCATCTGGTAGCTAAACAAACTTCTATGTACAAAATTAAACCAACAATACACTGGAAATACTATGTAACACTCAGCGCCACACCATCCTGAGCACTGGGGTCTGATAAACACCTTTGTGACATGTGCTTTGTAATCCTTTTTTCGCTACCCCTCACAGGATGAGTATGGAGTGCACAATAAACTAGCTCTTGTCTGCTGCAAAATACAAATTCAATACACACACACACACACAACACTCCCACATACAAACACACCATAAGCCCCTCCCACACACATACATACACCACTCTCACTCCTACAAACACACACACACACACACCATAACCCCGCCACCCCTACATACATACTGTCACGAGGAGGACGACACTTTACACCAATGGCATATATATATCCCACCATTTCATCACCTTCACTTTGTTTACCTTATCTTCTCCCCTTCCTCTATTTATCTGTATTTACCCTTATCATATATTACTGCTTCCCTCCCTCTTTCTCGTCCTGTGTGGGAGTGATGGAGGCGGAAGTGAGGGCTTTTTCTCGCTAGGCCGTGAATTAAGGAGGTTGGGTGGAGCCCCGAATCTGGCTTTAGCTACGGCTCGGGTTGGTCGCGTCTGGTGGGCGGGAGTGGTGGAGGGGGGTAATAGAGGTACAGTTTGTTCCTCCTTCTGCCTAGTTAGTTGGTGTCTCTCTCTCTCTCTCTCTCTCTTGGTTAGAATCGTCTGCTTCCCGGTTATAAGATTTAATAGTTTAGGTAGTGATCCATTAAGCTTTGACACTAATAATAATAATAATAATGGGAAGATGATGATGATGATGATGATGATGATGATGATGATGATGATGATGATGATACGTAAGTTGGACGTTGATAACACATTGTGACATATAGTAGAACGGATAAAGGAACGATTAACTGCGCACTTTGTGACAGAAACATGAAACTTTACATCAATATTTACCTGTTTATATCAAGTAATATTTTATATGTAAATTAACCAGGTTCAAAACTTTCAAAGCAAGTCAAAGAGAAATCTACCCTGTGGATGGATGAGGATGGAGGGTGAAAACTATCTGTGGGTGGATGAGGGTGGAGGGTGAAATCTATCTGTGGATGGATGAGGGTGGAGGGTGAAATCTATCTGTGGATGGATGAGGGTGGAGTGTGAAATCTATCTGTGGATAGATGAGGGTGAAATCTATCTGTGGATGGATGAGGGTGGAGGGTGAAATCTATCTGTGGATGGATGAGGGTGGAGGGTGAAATCTATCTGTGGATGGATGAGGGTGGAGTGTGAAATCTATCTGTGGATAGATGAGGGTGAAATCTATCTGTGGATGGATGAGGGTGGAGGGTGAAATCTAGGGATGAGGGTGGGAATCTATCTGTGGATGGATGGGGGATGAGGGTGAAATCTATCTCCGTGGATGGATGAGGGTGGAGGGTGAAATCTATCTGTACGGATGAGGGTGGAGGGTGAAATCTATCTGTGGATGGATGAGGGTGAAATCTATCTGTGGATGGATGAGGGTGGAGGGTGAAATTCATCTGTGGATGGATGAGGGTGGAGGGTGAAATCTATCTGTGGATGGATGAGGGTGGAGGGTGAAATCTATCTGTGGGTGGAGCGAGAAATAAACCAGAGGGTCAATGAGGGATAATGCAGTCAAGAAAGCGAAAGACATAACACAAGAGTCTCTGTGTGTGTGTGTGTGTGTGTGTGTGTGTGTGTGTGTGTGTGTGTGTGTGTGTTGAGCCAACCTTTGAGTGGCTCACTAAGACGCAGAGACAAACACACATCCAAAATACATCAGCAATGTTTATATCCATCCACACACACACACACACACACACACACACACACACACACACACACACACACACACACACACACACACACACACACACACACACACACACACACACACACACACACACACACACACGTGACAATGCAAACCCTCAAAACAGTTTTACGTTAAATTTCTCTCCTGTAAATATATTTAGTTAAACGCTATGTAATTGTGCTTCCATTTAGGTTACAATATTTACTTGAGGAAATGGTAGAGTCTCTGTGTAATTTTATCTCAATATTGGGCTATCTGTCTATTTACGTCGAGTCGTAGTGCAATTTTGACTCCATTCTGGCCAAGCCCTACTACCCTCAACTTTGCCCATAAATATTTCCGTTTTTATTCCCTCTTTCCTAATTATATAACCAAAGTATATAATTTTCCTTATATAAATTTCAAGTATTTCTCTAAAAAATTTTGTCAGTCTTAGTACTTTTTTTCATTTGTTTTCATATCAGTGAAATCTACTCTTAGCATTCACCTATAACACCACATTTCAAAGGCCTCCAACTTGCTCTGTCTGGTGTCTGCCGAGTGTCCACGCTTCTGACCCATACAACAGCCCTGACCATACACAGTTTTTCAGCAACATTTCCCCCCCCCCAAATTATACTTTATGTCCCTTTTCATTAGATCGTTAGATTCTTTAAATGCTTCTTTTGATTGACCTATTCTTGTTTTGGTATCCTTCCCACATCCACCATCACAGTTAACGATGCCTTCTGTAGTTTAAAATTTTGGATTTATTTCCCATATTGAAACAACCATTACCTTCGTCTTTACAGCATTAACTCTAAACCCACATTCTGGGTTTTTTTTCACTAATCTGTTAACCAGGTTTTGCTTCTTGGAACTTCCCTCACTTAGAATTCAAAACATCTCCTTCATTAATGTTTGTTTTTCCCCAAGACATCTATAAGTTTACTGCGCTTAACTTATAAAGACTTTTCCATACTAATAAAGCTGACACACAAATAACATTGAATTTCGAAACCCTTTTCCCTCGCAATCTATTATCAATTTTATTCGACTTAAAATAAGGTTTAATAAATTTTTGCAGGCAAGACTAATTGTTGCTCAGAGTAGTGACCCTAAATTCACTATTTTTATGGATCTTCTGTACCTATTAACGATTAGCAGAGAGAGAGAGAGAGAGAGAGAGAGAGAGAGAGAGAGAGAGAGAGAGAGAGAGAGAGAGAGAGAGAGAGAGAGAGAGAGAGAGAGAGAGAGAGAGAGAGAGAGAGAGAGAGAGAGAGAGAGAGAGAGAGAGAGAGAGAGAGAGAGAGAGAGAGAGAGAGAGAGAGAGAGAGAGAGAGAGAGAGAGAGAGAGAGAGAGAGAGAGAGAGTGATGCATCCACTTGTCACGTCAAGGAAACACCAGCATCAAAAAAAAAAAACATTACACATGGCCATGGTATCAACAATGTTACAGTGGGTGGCCATGGCTCACAGTCTCCGGGATCCTCGACAACATTCACACGTTTATGGGTCTTCCTGCAACTGAGGGGAGGGAGGCAGGGAGAGATGGTGAGACACGGGAGGCAGGGAGAGATGGTGAGACACGGGAGGCAGGGAGAGATGGTAAGACACGGGAGGCAGGAGAGATGGTGAGACACGGGAGGCAGGGAGAGAGAGAGACACGGGAGGCAGGGAGAGATGGTGAGACACGGGAGGCAGGAGAGATGGTGAGACACGGGAGGCAGGGAGAGATGGTAAGACACGGGAGGCAAGGGAGAGATGGTGAGACACACGAGAGATGGTGAGACACGGAGGCAGGAGAGATGGTGAGACACGGGAGGTAGGGAGAGATGGTGAGACACGGGAGGCAGGGAGAGATGGTGAGACACGGGAGGCAGGGAGAGATGGTGAGACACGGGAGGCAGGGAGATGGTGAGACACGGGAGGCAGGGAGATGGTGAGACACGGGAGGCAGGGAGAGATGGTGAGACACGGGAGGCAAGGAGAGATGGTGAGACACGGGAGGCAGGGAGAGATGGTGAGACACGGGAGGTGATGAGACACAGCTATACATGATAGACCCTCACTTGACCTTCCCACGTCATCATAGAGTTTTGGTAGAGTCTCAGTTTAATTACGATAGAGTTTAATTCAGACGCCACAGTTCAAGGTATAGAGTCTCGGTTTAACTTCGACACCATATTTGGACCTAAAAGCAATGAGACGCGGCTTAAGAGGTTCCCCCCTGAGACTACGGTATTTAT